ACTCTTCGTAAACATGCGGTCAACAGTGAATAAGGAAAGCGGGCCCTGCTTACTGTAAGAATAGTGGATTGGTTTACATGAAATATAAAGATGTGCTGGAGTGTCTTTGCTTGCAAATAGATACATTATTTTCAAGCAGAAGTTTGATTTAGCTATTGTAAAATTTCAAAATTGTCCTCCAAAAGTTAAAAAGCAGAAAACCCTTTCGGGGCTTGGCTAAGGCTGCCCCCTGATTCAAAAAAGTTGCCGCGTCTTCCCCCATCACTAAAAAATCTTCCGGACCAACACTAATTACACTACACTCACTACATCAGTTGTTCTGACTAAGTATTAATCACTGTAATGATACCAAAATCAATTCATTATCTCTATCTTGTTACTTGAATTAGTGTAAAATTAAATCGAACTACTGAAGTAAGTCCTTATGAGCAGGTAAGTGAGCTTAACGCTACGCTTTTTTGTTGTTTTGCTTCAGCTGAGTAACCAAGATTTGGTACAACAGTGTTTATTGCACAAGCCGATTATATGCTTTAGAGCTTTTACAAATTTTATATGTCCGAAAGTCAGTGCCATTTTTCGGTCTCATCACAGAAACACGTACAATAAGAATTAGCGAAACATTTCACAAATCATTCGAGAGAGCTTTCCTCCTTTTTTCAGCAGTCTTGTTTTTGCCTATAATCGCAACACTTTTGAGCCTGGTTAAGCAAGAGGTATGGCACGCAACCACAAATTACGACCCTCTCTTTATTTGATTTCAGTAAGATTTCTTTAAATTACGTTTATTTACCTATGTAAGAGTGAGAAGGAGTCCCTATCAGATATGACGAGTGTCAATTTCGTAATATGCATGTCGAAGATCCTCCATGGACCAATTTTTGGGGATTTCTGAATTTTCCAAATAATGCGCTACTTAGCAAATATCGTCTTTCTAAAAATGATTATTCTGTTTCAAAAATGAGTTTGTTATTTCTTCTCCGTTTGATATCAAGCATAGCTCCTTATCAAGATTTGGAATTTGAATTCCGAATAACTTCCAAGCAATGGAATTAGAAATAAGCCAAAATCTTGCTCAGCGCACTTTTCGCTTTCCTGCTTCTGCTTTCAGCAACTATAGCTCAGAGTAAAGAAAAGAAATCAGGCTCAAGTAAACTGCTTCAGTGACTATGAAAACTTGACCATCCTTTTTTGTGGACTATGAAAACTAGACCATCCTTTTTTGAAGTAATTTCATGGTGAGGCACAATGCCCCAAAAATATGAATGCCCTTTTTTCGGGGTTGTACGATAAACCGTTAACTTACTTTCAGGGCATTCATAAAATTAGAATCTTGGAATCGTTAAAACTGTATGGTCGTCGCTTTTAAAGAAAGGCATAGTCGTTTTTCAAACCTATGCTCATGGCAAATATTGGGTTACTGTATAATGCGAGATCTTCTATACTGTACGATGTGTATCCCATGGGGCCTGCGCGGCGCACACCTGCTCAACTTACGTTTCTCATCCCAGTCAAGCAGAAAAAAATTTCTACGTGAGCATAGAAGTGAAGTGAGGAGTGAGAACCCTTACTTCAACTCGAGAAAAACCCAAACAAGACGGAAAGGGGAGCAAAAAGCTGTCAATGTGACTCATTTTCAGTAGAACCGCAAAAAACGTATCAAACTTAAATTGCTGAGACTATTCTTATCGTCATGTAATAAAGCAATTTCTAGGTTATCTCCAATCGGTCATCAATCCAATCGTAATAAATTTCACATTTTTGGAGGTGTCGTTACTGTCTGTCGTAAGTTGCCTCCACGAGCAAATCACTTCAGAAAAGTGTCATTGGTTTTCAGAATGAAGCTGTTCAAACACTCGATATGATTTTCCAGTACGACATGGAAAGCCTTCTTCATGAACATCTAAGTGATGTATAAGAAATAGCGAAATTTTCAGGATTGGAACGATGAGCGACTCGCATGGACTCCATCTGATTTTGATGAAATCGAAGGGATTTATATTAGTCAAAACCTTATATGGAAGCCAGACGTTTATGTAGTAAACAGGTTTGCAATTATCAGAAGCAATTCACTTTCAGTCTTACTTTTGCTGCCTGCAGGGGTGGAGAGCATGGAGTAGCTTCCATCGCACAGCTTGCTTACGTGAGTTACAGGCGCAATCACTTTTCTCACAATCAATTATTTTTGCAGGTGGACAGCAACGGAGATGTCAATGTGTTTGTGTACAATCCTGTTTCATTTCTATGTCTTATGAAGGCAAGTGACGATCACCTCTTTGACATATGTCGCTCAAACGTACTTTTGCGAAGAGTTTAGGTCAAAGACTTCCCCTTCGATAAACAAAGGTGTTCCGTGAAGTTTTCTTCCGATACATTCTCATATCGCGAACTTCGGCTGAACGGCGGACTAAAAGAGAACTTCAGCGAGACTTCTGTAGTAAGCCCTGCAACTTTCATGGAAATCTCACCATTGATTACAATTTCTACGTGCGGCGTATTCTCGAAGTTTTACTTCATCTGCATAGCTCCTTAAAGAAGTAATCTAATAGTCAAAAACCCTCAGTATGCACATTTATGCTCCTGTAGCATCAGCAAGGGAGAGTTTTGGTTTTAATGACAATCACCTTACTTCAAAGTAATGTGAACAATAGTAAAACTTTTTTTT